TGTGTACTGCCTTCTTTAAACCTTGCAATTCTTTTGAGCATAAGATAAATTAAAGTGATTGCATTGTAGAAAATTAAATTATTGCCATTTTCTGGATATTTGAAAATACTAGTCACATAATAACACATTGTAAACAGTATTTAGATTTTCTTTGATTTGCAAAACTTGCCCCCATAGTTTTTTTCTAGAATAAGAGAGCAATGATGTAAAACAAGCAGTCATCTGTGAAGATGGGTTTGGGGTGAGTGATCTTCATAGAGTACATTTTCCTCTTTTTTTCCAATTGTTTTCCTTCAAGTAAATATGTATTCTCTAATTATGTTAATTTCTGATTTGTTGCCAGACTTGCTTTTAATAAAACTAAGACAGAAATTTTATTTAAAAATCTTAGTAATTTCTTCATTTCAGTTGAGTGCTCTGGCCTGTCTTTCTGCTTTGCTGTGTCTCATGGCAGGAAATCTGAAAGACTATCCACTGAATTAGTGTATCTGGTGAGACTATTAACACGCCAGAATAAGGGGTACTACTTCGATTGTCCTTTATCAGGAACCTATAAATATCTTGAGTTATACTATTAATCATGCTATTTTGCTATGTCTTCATTGCTAGATTAAAAATTCCCTTAAGGTGAAAATTATCTCTGTGTCAGATAGTTGCTCAAAACCTATTTCAAAAGTACGGGGCTGAGGATACAGTTTAGCCACCCAGTGCCTGCCTGGCAAGCTTGAGGTCCTGAGTTCAATTCTTGCTCCCCCACTCCAAAAGTAATAGATGGAGCGTTGTAAATTGAAGGCCTCACTAGATCTAAATATATTCTACTTTGTATTAATTATTATTCTCATTTAAATAATTAAATGGCTCACCTAAAGTTACAGTTTTTATAAGAACTCAGATTCAAATTATTATCTTAATCCACATATTTGAACTGTGTATTAGCAATCAATATTGCTGTCCAAGAGTACTTCCTTTAATTAGAGGTAATCCTGTACCTTATAATGATGAAATTTTTGAAACATAACTATCATAAAAATATTTTAAAATAATTTATCAAGACAAGGCTCGGGGATATAGCTCAGCAGCACAGCACCTGCCTGGCAAACTGCCTGGGAGTTCGATTCGCAGTACCCAAGAAAGAAAGAAAGAAAAAAAAATCAAGTGACAAGAAAAATGTGTGTATTAACAAACAAATAGAAATAATAGCTCCATAAAAATTTTCTCTTCTATCACTAAAACTACACTTTAATATTTCTATTTTTATTAAGGCTCTCAGCTACTCATATGCATTACCTTTTATTTGAACACAAGGAAAAGATATTATATGTATCACAATGTTTTGTTGCTGTTTGAACTTACTATTGGCCAAAATCTGATTAGCATAAAATATATACTATGGAGCATTGTTAGACAAAATTCATGTCATGGGACTTTTAAAAAGATTTTTAAAAATAATATAAAATATTAAGAATATATAAATATCAAATTATTAAAAATTGTATACAGAAATTGAGATCATATCATAAAATATGATTCTTTATCATCACATAAGTAGAAATACGTTTTAAAACTGCTCACTACTACTGTTTACTGAAATTTATAGAGCAAAAGAAAATATCTCAGTTGTATAACCAAAAGCAAGGAATAAAGATCTAGATTACAGGAAAAACTAACTCTGCAGAGACCTAAATGGTTTGGGGTCCTGGACATAAAGTATGGATCTGGGGCTGGGATTTTAAACCGTGTGATTGCAGGAGAGCTGTACCTGAACTCTGCACATGACAGCTCAGCCTTACAATGACCAGAAAAATTTCTGTATGTCAGGAATCCCTCTAGAAAATTTATGTACTGTCCAGAGGCTTAGAAAGTGTGAAATAAAGTGAAATCTGAAACCTAAACTTGTGCCACAACACACATAGTCTAGTACATGATATAAGAATGAAAATTCCAAAACAAAAAATTGTTATTAACAATTTCTGGAACAATAGATGCTTTGAGGATAAGAAAGAAGCCAGTGTGAATTTATGTCTCAGGACTGTGTGCTAAGATCATAAAGCAGTGAAAAGGAAGTGTGAAAAAAATCAGAATATTAAACTGAAATAATTGAATTTAACTTCTAGAAAAAATCATCATTAAAAAATAAATAACAATGTAGCAGTTAAACAAACTGGTCAGAGATAGAGATGAAGATCAAACTACTAAGGAAATGTGAGTCTGTTCCCCAGAATATAGTACATTAAGGTAAAGATAAAATAAATATGTGACAGAAGCTTTGAGGATAGAATGAATAAATCTAACACTTTTCTAATGGGTGTTTAGGAAGCACAGAACAGAGACTTACAGAAAAGTATCTGAAGAAATAATATTGGGCATTGTCTTGGGTACTTGTCTCTCATTGATGAGACAAAGTATCTACAACCAAAGTTAAACAGAGAAAAATTTGTTTGGCACATAGTTTGAAAAGGTTTCAGGCCATCACTGACCAGCTCCAAGACAGGGTGGCAGCATCACTTAGAACTATTGACAGCACTGGCAAGGAAACAAAGCAACAAAGGTCCTTAACAGTGTCTTTCTGCCCCTGTTGTACTCTACCTAGGCTATTGAGATTAGGGTAGTGCCAAATCAGTCAATGGATTGATTTAGTAACACACATCCTTAATCCCAGCATTGCACATGCTAGATCCAGCTACCTTTGAAAAAGCCTCATCTATGACTGCATGAGGCTTTGTGGGGACATCTAGAGACAAACCATAACAAGCATATTCCATAATGTAAAAATTACATGACTCTTCAGGTAATCATATTAGTAGTATCAGAAGTCAGAAAGTAATTGACGTCAAGAGTTGGTATCGTTAAGAGTTAGTACATTAACAAAAATGTGCACTTTTCAACAAAATTTTTAAAGTATGGTATTAATTGAGATGAATAGAAAAAATATGTTATTTTCAGGTGGGTTACAGTTTTTCCCAATGCACAATAAATTGGACCTATGAGTGGCTCATGGTATTAGTGGATTAAGTAATCATCTCTTATGGCACATTATTTTGCAGGGCCTTCCTTATTTCTAGGATCTTTCAGTTTATCCTGCATTAGTTTCAGGTTTCTAGGTCTCTGTAAACCTTTTTTTAGAAAAATAAATATTTGCTCTAGTTAGTTTTATATGGCATGTTCTTCTAGCCAGATAATTTTTCACTATTATGAACACTAGTGCTTTTCCTGTTCTTATTTTATCAACTATAGAATATGTGAGACTGTCTTTTATTTCATATATTTTCCAACCAGCTGACTAGTTACTGTTTCTGTCATGTGGTTGAATAAACATACAGAAAATGACTAAACTTGTGCAATACAGTTTCTCACTAAAATAATCTCCCTTTTGAATTTACCACATTCTTATCTTAAAGAAGACATACTTTTCTTGAAATTGTTGACTCTTTTCCTTTATTTGTTCCTGGTTTATCTAACACACCATAGAAAATATGATTACTCTTTGATTTAAGGTTATTCAAAATACGGATCTGATTTCTCTTCATGTCTTCACAATTTTATATTGTTAAATAAAATAAGCATTACTCAGAAATGTAGTCTATTTTTAACCATATTTAAAAACACTAAAGAAAGAACCAATTATTTAGACTGAATTGGAAGTATAATTCCCCTGTGACATAATTATATGGCTTCTTATCCTATGGCATAGAAAAATGAGATAGTCTCAAATGCACAGACCTGCATATTAAGCAGGATCTGCACACTGCTCTGGATTAAATGTAAAATCTCACTAGTGTGAATTAAAATTTATGTGGCAACATTTTTAAACAAATCTGTGAACATGACCTTTGAGCTTTCATTTTGCTAGTTTCCCATAGCTGCAATAGTTGCTGTTGTTTTAGATACCCTCCCTTCATTCTTCCTATTTGTGTAGATAGAATTTTACTAGTACATTATTTCTGGAAATCATACAGGATTTAGCTGTTTAATAATGGGGAAGATCTAAAGACTGTAAAAATGTACTCTTAGTTAATCCTATAGGATTTTACTCTTTTCATTCATGGGAACAGTGCCTAAACTTAAATAAATTTTCCCTACTTTAGACCCATCTACTATGAGACTGTCAAAATTTGTATAATAAAGAGATGCTGAACTTTATTTAACTTGATGAAATTGATTTACAGATAATTTTAGGATTTCTTTGTAAGTTAACACAAGGCTAAGAATTCTTGTCTTTTATCTCTATTAGAGTAAAAGTAGTGTTTAAATACGTGAATCTTTAAAAAAAAAACAACTCTATGTCAATTCACTTTTCTAATCTCTCTTTAAATGAAACCTTCAAAAATTTTAGTCAAATTTAAGAAACCTCCTATATGTTAGATGTTTATTTATGTTAGCAGCACAAATGGCTGCTTCAGTGAATCTTGGAGTGAGAGGGACAGATAGACATGTAAACAGTCTTAATGAGCTGAAGAATATTGCAGTGTACGACTCACGATTCTTAGGTGATATGAAACTGAAAGGTATCGGACCTAAGCCAAAGATGACGAAGAGAAAAGGAAAGAAGATAGAAAAATAACAGTGTTCTTTGGAGTCTGAAGTTGAGCAGTAGACCACCCAGGGACAACAGACCCATCAGTGCAGACAGAAGAAATATATAGAAAAATTGAGGAGAAAATGGAATATTTTTTAAGCATTCAGTCATAGAATATCATTTAAATGTAGATGCTGATGGGAAAACCCCAGAATATGAAACTGGAAAACAAAGTTGGGACCAAAAACAACAAAGGAATTTTACTGCCTTCGTGAGGCATTTGGGTTTGTGTAATAGATAGTGTTCAGCTTTTGAGTGGTTAAAAGATATTTTAAAAATAATTTCTATATAATTTGCTCAACAACAAGTCTACCGTAGGTATGTGTTACAATCATAATGTTATTAAATAGTGCACAATCTATAAAACAACAAGAGCCTTCAAATGTAATAAAAATGTTGACTAAATACTTTTCTTTTTCCTTAGTGGGAGAAACTTCTAAGATTTGCTCAGAACCCACTGATTTTTTGTGCCAGGACAAGAAGTGCATTGAATCCCACTTTGTTTGTGACTACAAACCAGACTGCCTCGATAGGTCAGATGAAGTGCACTGTGGTAAGTTTATCTAATATTCCGGCTGTAGTGAAGCCAACTCAGCTCAGATGTCCACCCTGTGAGTAGAAAAATGCATTGGCACCGAAGGCCAGGAAGAATGTACTTTTCATGCACTAGAGGAGAATTGCCAAAATATTTCCCTCAACTTTTCTGCACAAATTGCCATACAGCAGTTCTCTCATCCTTTTTATCCCATAATGAAAATTGTAACATATCACTTACCACAATTTCCCACATAGAATTATGATCAGAATTAAAATGATCAGATACTGAACTATATTTTGCATGATTTTTCTTTTTCTAAAAAAAGATTGGTTGTAAAATGAGGCTAAATGACCTTGTTAAATAGTTAACTTAAGAAATACCAGTTAGTGACTGATTTTATCAAATTCATTGCACTAGAAAAAGATGATACTACCTGATTGCCATCTAATGTTTCAGATGTGCTCCATGAGACTTAGGTTTTACATGACAAGGCTGCCACAGACATCAAGGAAGTAATTAACCATTGTATATAGCTCTGGTTTCTACTAAAGTTGGTGTTCTAAGAGGTAGTATTCCAAGAGCTTCATGAAATTCAGCAAGAGATATTTGGGCTTAGTCGAGGTGCCCCAGGATGTCACACAAAACTCATTACAGTGGTTTAAAGAAGTCTCACATAGACTCAGATAAAGAAAACAGACTATATCTCAGTAGGGAAAGGTCACAAATGTTGGTGCTCTTGGAAATAAGTCATAGATCAAGTATATTTAAATTTTTAATTTTTAGCTCAAAATTATTTTGTTCTGTATTATCTTACTTTCTTTGGTGATGCTTTTAAAAGGCTCACTTCCTGCATTTGTTTTTCCATGCATTTGTTATTTTCTTTTAATTGTATTTTATTTACCATTTCAAAGATTTTAAGTGTACAGTTGAATTGCATTAAGTGCATTTCATTGTAGTGCAAACATCACTGCCATCTTTATCCAGAGAGTTTTTCATTTTGTAAAGTTTCAGTCCTTCTCTTTAAATGAGAACTTGTCACCTCTTCTTCAGTTGCTGACAACCAGCATTCTAGTTTCTGTCTCTATGTATTTGACTAGGTTATGACCCTCATATAAGTGAAATCATCCAGAATTTTTCTTGCTGTGACTAGGTTATGTTACTTAGCATAATGTTTTCAAGGATTATCTCATATTTTAATTTTAGATGAAAGTGCAAAAGAAAATGCGAATGATTGCCAAATGTTTAGAATGTACTATGAATACTGTGTATTATAAAATTAATCATAAGATTAATTAAATGTATTTACAGATTTCTGAAAATCAAAAGTAAAAATGATTTGATAATAGTTGTATTGACATGCTTAACCTACAGAAGGGAAAGTTAACACTATTAAATACACATAGAAAAGTTAAATACAAATATTAAATTATTACAAATATTAAATTCTCCTTTCACTTAAAATGCACATACAGAGTCTGCCAAAAAATATACACTTCAGGAAAAGAAAAGCTTGTATAAATATTGTAATACTAGATGTATTGAGACATGAGATTAAAACAAGTTACCTTTGGCCTTTAAAGCTTCAAGAGGTACTCAGAGTGGTGGTGACTGTTAGTTTCCAAATATTTATTAATGCAGTGAACTGCTACTTGGGTAAACTCAGTCACTGAGATCACTGCACAGGCATTTTCAGTTTCTTGTCTAGGGGCCGGCAATGTAGTGGGGTATCTGTATTATATGACATCCTCTGAAGTCAACCTCATGCAAAGGTAACACTATGTGTTGAAAAACCATCGTACTATTTTTTACCTGCAATGTGTGTACATTTTTTGGCAGACTCTGTATATTAAAAAGTTTTATATGGGCATCATAGTCAGCAATTTATTCCTACTATGTACCTGAAACAATTTTCTAAGTACTAAATTTAAATATGAGTAAGATATTGTCTTAAACTTCAAAAATTAGTTTTAACTGTGTGAGAAAAAACAAGGGGAGAAGCATCAAATACAATATTCTTTGATTTTTATTTTTTAATTGTTCATAAATGCATAGATTTTTGTTAGTTTCAAAAGTTACCACCACTCACTTCAGAAGTAGAAATGAAGAAAATAGTGTGTGTGTGTGTGTGTACCTGCACATTCATAACACACATCTGTATTTGCAATATTAATATAGTTCACACACGTAAAAAATAGCTAAAAGTATTTTGGTTTTCAGATGTTTGTGATGCCTATATTATCATCATCATTATTATTATTATTATTATTTTGCTTTATTCATTTTTCCTCTCAGCTGTTTGAGGTATTGACGTGAAAGCACACAGGCACAAGTTTTATTTTCAGAACCCAAAGTCAGTTATGTAATCATTTGTGATTATGTTACCCACAGTTTTGATGGCCCGTACAGAAAGTATTTAAATTTATGAAAACTATAGGACAAGGTTGTTAAATGAAATAGTCACGTCTCAGAACTTCTTAATAGTTTTCATTCACAGCCACAAAGAGCACTGTGCATAGCCATCAGGAGACACATTAATTCTGAAAATCCACTCTCAGTGTTTCACACTGATGTTCATCTGCACATACTGTAAGCCTTACAGAGAGATTCCTACAGTCAGATCATTTGTTGTTGTTAATAGTAGAACAAATGACAGTATTTCCAAAGTGATATTTAGAGAACTGTAAGGAATGAATTGAACTTTGGGGTTATCAAATTGAAGTCTTTAAGATTCTTGCTTGTTGGGCAATTATTTAAATCCAGAGACATTCATTTTTCTCGTCTGCATAGTAGATATAACAACTATCCTATTGAATGTGATGACAATTAATGAGTAAACTGAGTAAGTGAATAGACTGAGTTAAATGAAGTGCCTCTTCATTTTGGGGTTCTGGGGTTATTAATGTTAGCATCTTCCATTTCATTACTTGTATTGTAAAATTTGTTCAATATAATGAATATCTCTCCTACATATTCTTAATGTCAGAAAAAGAAAGGCACAAGGTGTTCTGGGTGCCCGCTGTGCAGTGCTGGGTGAGCATCTTCTCTCTTTCCTTCACAGCCTTCTTTCCCGTGCACTGAGATTCGTCACAGTCCAAACGTTGTTACCAGTTTAAACACTGAGAAAGTGGATTTTCAGAATTAATATCTCTCTCAGTTCAGGGCACTAAGAAGCCATTTCACAATGAAAATAGTTATCATTTGAGGTAACACTAATGTTACTATGCATTATAATATATTAAAACTATGCATTATGATATATTAAAAATGAAGTGCAGAACTGGGGATATAGCTCAGAGGCACAACACCTGCCTGACAAATGTGAGATCCTGAATGCAATTACTGATTACCACCCCCTCCAGTGAAATACCCATGTAGACATGAGGAACTAAATATTATTACTTATAGAATTATCTTTTAAAATATGTTAATATTTACACTAAATATATAACCACTTGGGCAAATATTGCACCTTAGGAAAATACAAGTTGTTTAAATGAGGGTTAATAATGATTTGAATGCACTCAATAGATTGTGAGGAAGATTATAATCTGAAAAACATTTTCTTCAAGAAACTAATATTTTGAAAGTACAGATTCATTACTAAGAAATAATATAAAGGAATCCTTTAATCTATCTTTAAGTGAGTATTTATTGAAACACATGTATAAATGCAGTTTGGTAATAATAACGGATCATATGAACTGTTGGTTGTAGCTCAGTGCTAAACAGTCATACAAAATGCAGAAGTAATAGACTTTGAAATGAACTGTCACAGCTGTAATCATCAGTAAGTGCCTTGTACACACATCACCCTAAGAGCAGATATGGTCTAGGAAGGGAGAACTAGGACTTGAGTAGGACTTCAAAGACGGGTATGATTTCCATAGGTTAGAGAAGGGAATATGTATTAATTACAATACTTACAGCAGAAACTCTGACCTTGGCCAATACCAGTTAAATAGCCTGGCTGTAGCTCTTGGTACAGTCCTTTTGGTAGATGAAAAAAAAAGATCTCCCATTTTAATTGTGATGGGCAACAAAATCATCTTCTCCAGACCCTTTACAGTTATAAGAGGCCAATGAGATTTATGTAGAAATTTGAGGAAAGGTGTCTATTTCCTAAAGAAAAAGGCAGTCACCTTGCAAGTGTGCATAAGCATAGTTGAACATGAATAAAAAGAGGGCCCAAAGGACTGTGTCGTCTATCTATCTCAGAATGAGAAATTCCTGACTTCTTAGTGTAGATAAAAATTAATTCTTGTTTGCTTTAGGCAACAGTGAATTGGATTTTTGATTGATTGGAGCTAAAATATTTTCAACACAAACAATAAGGAAATCTTTTATCTCAAGTAACAAAAAGTGTAAAATCTTGGCAGTCATAAGGTGGTTAATTTTGACTATCATCAAAAGTATAGGACTACACAGACTCCTTCCTTATGTTCTGCTTTTCCTTGGATAACTTGGTCTATTATAGAATCATATCCGGGCATAATTTTATATCTTTGCACCATATCCTAGAAATGAACAAACGGATTGTCTTCTTTTTCTTTTCTTTTTTAAGAATAGGAAAACTTTTAGTATTCCCTTCCCCTGTAAGTCACATTGTCTAGATTTATACCCCAAATTATGCCTAAACTAATCAATATGAGGAAAGAGAAGAGATCTGTTGCAGCTGTCTAGATGAGAACCCCCTCTGAAGGCAAGGAGGGAACTGTTTTGTCCTTGGAGACACCTATATGAGTCCAAGAAGGGAAACATTCAGATAAAACTGCAGTTACGACTTGAAGAAACCAGGATCAACTGGGTGGTGGGTGATTAACCAATTGTTAGAGAGGTAGAAAAGTACTCTTAAACATAAATGTCTTAAAATGTCAGCTTATATTTAAGAGATTATCTTCTGAAAAATTTGGTTGAAGTGGAGGCATTTTTAAAGATGAGGCAGATTTCATCCTAAAATACTTCATACCAAAGTAAAGGTTATTGTTTTCAAGCCTAGCAATTTATGAAAGTATTTTCAAGCAGTGTGAAAATACAGAGTATTTTAAGCAAGAGAAAGTAACACTGGAGCAGTCTTAGGGATGATTAATGTGGTTTAGGCTTGAAAAGCTGAGAAGATGAAGTTTGCTTGAAAGCTAGTCTCTTAAAATAAATCAACACTTCAAAGCAGGATACGATTATGGGAATGTAAACAACATAACAGATTCAGCAAGTACTTAAAGAAATTATCTACACAAGTATTGGTGATACAATGGATATGGAGATGAAGACTGTTGAATCAAAGGTGATTCTGAAAGTTTCATGCTTTATAAAGAGAAAGAAAATACATTCTATGAAATTAAGCCATAAACTCACAGAGAAGGAGCCATTTGGGGAGGTGAATGATGAGTCTGCTTTGGGCTTATTGGTTTTAAAGCTGTATATCCCAGGTAGAATGTTCAAAAAGCTTTTGTATATATTTAGCTGCATTTCATTGTGGTTGTGGATTTGTTGGTGATCTGTGTAACTATGGAAGACCAGGGGACAGTATGAGTGACGGTATATATCGGGAAACATTAAAGCAAGTAAATACACTTTTAAGAGTTGAAGAGTGACAGCCTTACAGTGTCTGAAAGTGTAAAAATAAAGAATGTAAGACTCAAAGACAAGAGGAAGTTGTGTAATCTTGAAGGCAATGAAGCTGAGATACCAACAACACTACTGTGATAAAGATTTGAGATAGCAGATAGATACTAGCCTTAAAAAAGAGAATAGGAAGGGTGACATATTTTGAGATACATATAATGAAAATAATGTATTATGATTATATAGATACCTTCAAAGTCTTCAAAGACACGTATTAAATGAGGTGGGCAGAGGGGACAGGAGAGTCCAAGAATGGAAAAGGAAGTAGAATAATTATTTTGGGGCTTATGTGTCAGGAGCTCAATTACACAGAAGTAGAATAGCACAGGACCTTTATGTGACATTTTTCTAGTGAATGCATAGTGGCATTCTGTTGTGTACAGTGGAAGATTTTTGAATGTTTGTAGATATGTTGATTAAATGCTAGGAAAACTGAATTTGTTATTTTTATATATAATATAAAAATACATAAACAGAATACTAGCATGAATTGTAAACATACAGAGCCCATAACTAAGCATATAAAAACAGTGAATATATAGTGCCATAGAATGAATGAAAAATTATATATGATTAAAATTATTCTCATTTTTAGGAATAAAAATACAATATTTAAGAATTAAACGTTGATATATTATTAAAATCCTCTTACAAATCCAGAAAACTTTGTAAAAAGACATGAAAGCTTTATAATACGTTTGACATCCATTTAATAACAAGTCTTATGTTTTCTTATTAAGATTTTATATACTAAGTTTTTTCATGTTAAGAAAAGTTATGACCAAGAAGAAATTTTTAAAACGCCATAAACTTCATCTATAAGAAGAAAGGAGAAGTCAATGACAATTTCAATTGATTCATACTGATTAAATAGCTCAATAATTCATTCTGTCTGGAGAACACAGTCAGATTTTACAGTGAGTGCTCAAAAATAATAACTCCTATGTCAAAAAAAGAAAAAGAAAGACAAATGAAACCTTAGCTATCAGGGTATTATTATGCAACACTTCACAGGCGGCAAATGGTAGACATTCAGTTCTTTATTACATTTGCTCATTGTGAATAATATAATTTTTGATGAAATATTAATCAATGTTTTAGAAGTTTTTGTTACTTAATGACTAGTTCTGAAGTTATGATAAGCATAGTACCTGAAAAGGTTTGTGTCCTATACAGTTTACCACTTTTTCCAATGCAGAATTTTCTTTAGTATATGACTTTGCCTCTCTAATGAAATACATTGTTCAAACATCAAATTCAGTATTGTATTGATGATCTAGACAACAGAAACCTCATTTACTAGCCCTGAATTATTCGTGTCATTACCATGTTATGCCCATTTCATGTATAGGCTCAATTATATCTATCACCTATAAATACTAGTCAATCTAGATAATTCCCTAATATGCAAATGACACCACTCATATACTGCTTTTATGTTCTGTGATAAATACATTGCTGTGTACAGCTAATATTAAAATGAGTGCAAATATTTTGGTTGTCTAAATTGATAAAGAATTAAAATATTCACATCCTAATTTTTAAATCATTGAAAATGTGATATATTATGATGTGTAATAGACATGTCCAGAAATTTCCCTAAAAATTTTACTTTCCTAGGACATTACACAAGCATCCCTGGGAGCTGCAATTTTGAAACCACTCCAGGAAACTGGACTGTAGCCTGCAGTCTTACACAAGATGTTAAAGATGACTTGGATTGGACCATTGGCAGTAGAATTCCTTCTGAAGCATGGAGCACAGACTCTGACCACACACCAGGTAAATCTAGTAGCAATGCCCACAAGCAGGTGCTTTGGTGGCCCATAAGCCTGCCACAACTGAATATCAGAGGGCACACCTGTGTCTCTCTGGGGTTAGAAACCAATAGGTTTCATGGAAAAAAGAGTAATTTCTTCTGTTGTGATCCCTGATCTATTAAATAGATCCAGACCTGATGTTGCAAAGAAGCCTTATAATTTAAAAGATCACAAATTTTATTCACTGTACCATAAAGATGTCGTTAAGGTTCCCAACTGGGACTGGGGTGGGTGGATGGTTTAAGGTAATTTAAGGGTGAAATAGGCAAGTTCATACAGTTGGCAATGGTAACTTTTGCTGTCACAGTGGCCTTTCAACAGATCACTGATCTCATTACCATCACTCTGAAGTACAGAAACCAAGACAGGAAGATAAGTGTTAGGGACTGAGTGAACACCAATACCTTCATAGATTTCGCTTCCTGCTCTATGATCTGAAAGTAATAGAATGCTTAATAAATATCTTTATTATCAAAAGATGCAAAGTAGAAAGGAACTTGTAAGCTTACTTTTACCTACAAGTTGTAGAGATTCAATACTTTTGTTAACGATCTTAAAATAATGAAGTTTTTCTTTGGGAATAAATACAACGTGGCATGTCTTTTTCCTTTAACATAGCATGTCTTACAGATTAAAAATAGCCTGAGATGTGTGATGTTTAATTTTATGCGTCAACCTGAAGGGTGTTTTTGGATGAAATTCACATTGAAATGGGTGAACTTGCAGTAAAACAGACTGTCCTCCGTATTATGTCCTCCTTTTAGTTAAGTTCTGAGTAGAACAAGAAAAAACAGCCTTCCCTGAGGAGAGATTTTTTCAGGAGCCTGTCCTTAAAATTCTGTGCTATAAGTTTTCCAGAGACTTCTCTGTAGATTTGGACTAAGAGTCTTCATAACTCCGTGAGCCAGTTCCTTACAACAAATTGCCTCTATATGTATGCACATCCTGTTGGTTCTGTTTCTCTGGAGAACCATAACCAATACAATAATCTTCAAAGCAACTGAAGAATAGGCACAGTAAAAAAGAACAAGAACATATGACATGAAATAACATTTGCAAAAGAGAAGTATGCATGATTGGCTTACCTATTAGGTAACTAATGAAAAGAGAATGTTAGTTTTGTTATTTGTATATGGTAGGTAGGTTAGCTGTATTGTGAACTTCAAATATGTACATATATGTACATATCATACACATCTTCTTGTGTTAGTTTTTCTAATTCATCCTAAAATCCAGTATTCTTTCACTTGCCTAGATGTATGGCTTTTCCTTTCATAGTGCCTTTTCTCCTCCCTAAAAAACTATTTAGTTATTGTTCACTGGATTATAGGGTAAACAGGATAGACAATCCAGAAGTTGAATCCAGAAATTAGGAAGATTTAATGTATGAGAAATATAAATATTTTAATGCAGTGGAAAATATATATTATTTAATATAGTACAGATGTATTTGGTTATTCACCAAGAAGGATAATAATTTCAACCTCACTTTTATATCACATGTAGACATACATTACAGATGGATTAAAGGATTACATGTAACAAACAAAAGTAAAATTCTCACAGGATAATAGAAACTAAAATATATGTTATTTAGAGCTATAGTCTACTTTCCAATACCCCAAAGCTAGTTTCTAAACCCAATTTATATCCCATATCAACATATAAGAATACTCATGTAATAACTTATGTTTACATGAGGTTATTTATGCAAGGACATTTACTTTAATATTGTTTATGGTCTAAAAATGAAAAAATGAATACATTTTCATCATGTGTTTGTGTTTCTTAGCTCATCTCTTTATCAAATGCCAGGCCCTTTCTAAGCCATGATGTAACACTAAATAAAACAGACAAAAATCTCACCTCAGTGGAGCCTACAATTAGGAAAAGATAAATGACAGTGGATAAATATAATGTATAAATTCATGACTTGTTAGATGCTGAGAGGGAAAAAAAGAGCAGAGTAAGAAAGACTGGGAAGACCAGCAGTAATGTGTGTCCGACCATCAAGGGAGGGTGCAATGAAATAGGTTAGTCAAAATAGGCCACAGAGGAGATGTCATTTGAAAAAAGACTTGGAGAGCAGGAACTGTGTAGATACCTAAGGAAAGAGGGTTGCAACCAGCGGTAGGGCTGCCTGTGCCTGGCAAATGTGTCAAAGCAGTGCTGGTGACGTTGGATCAGTCAGATATATTGTTGATCATTGTCATATGGTCTGTAGGATGCTTAACAGAATTCTTGGTCTCTACCAGTAAAATCCCAGAGACGCCCATCTTTCTAGATAATCAAAGAAATCAAAATGTCTTTGGGTGTTGCCACCTATTCCCTGGCAAGGGAAGAGGGAGGCAGAGATCACAGTCTATTGAAAACCTGAAGACACAAAAGAAAACAAGGATCATTTATTTGTAACATACACAGCATGCAATGCTATGCTCCTACTGAAAACAGGTTTTACTGTTATGCAATTAATTTATAGGGGTTTCCAAATGACATTGTCAAGGAAATAAAATAATATGCAAAATTATAATCTAATGTGAGGTGATTAGATCTTTCTAAGGCAGATAACAGTCCCATATTGGTGTATTATGTGTTGATCAGTAGAGAGATTTTTCCATGAATTACAAGCTTGTAGGAAAGGATACATATGTATTTATTAATATGGGTGAGTGATAGAGGTACAGTTGAGAGGGAGAATAAATCCAAAATTAAAAAATGAAAGTTAATAAAAACGGAAATTTTACTTTAAAAGATAACCTAGTATACATAATGATAGCACATTTAAATGTTTGTATGCTGAAAAATTTTAAGCGTTTTCATTTCAAAATTCTAAGTGATTTTTTATCACTCATTATTTCTGCTCCAGTATTTTTTCTTGCAGTTTACATTACTAAGTTTTGAACCTTTTTCTAGCGTTTCTAGAATACTAGTAGAAAAACTGAAACTTTTTCTTATAATTTTAAGAGAGTCATATGACCTTCCATAAGCTTGGCTTGTAATATACTGCCATTCTTTCTTAATGTACTTGTTTTCAAATAAAAATATGTTTAACCGATTTGTAAATTTAGAATATAGCTCAAGTAATTTTATGTGTTGTGAACAGCATGATTTTAGTTGCAGCGTAGTATTCCAGCTTGGGAATATATCAAAATTTTGTATACATGAAATTCCCTAATGCCTTCATTACAGTAAGCATTATAACAGTGACTATACATTTAGATGGAACTTTTTATTTACTTACTTTTACAGTGATTTAAACAGACAAACACATTGCTTTCCTTGTGAAATGATGAGGGATGGGCCAGTTTTTATTTTTGCTGCTACACTGAGACAGCAACATGTAGAGACAAGATGGGGACTTCTCTAGACCCCATCTTTGCTCTTACACTAGAATGTACTTTAAAGGACTGATACTACCAATCTGATATTTTCAATAGTACCAAAATACTGTAGGATTGTAGGACCAAAAGATAAAATACAGTCAGTAGATAGAATTATATTCTTTGTTTAAAAATACTAATGTGAAAAATGATACTTTTAATTGAATGATTAAGGAGTATTAATGGGAATATTTATTTTACTTTTGATCTTTAATAGCTTGTATAAGTTCATTAAAAACCACATAAACAAGCTGACTAGTTGTGCAGTGTTGTAGACAGGTATGTTGTCCACAGATAAAGGAACAGAACTATTCTGACAGATGGCTTTATCTTGCTCCCTGTTAATCACTGCTTGAGACAGTATATTTTTACAGAGCACTCTCTTCAAAGTAGCCTGATTATATCATCCTTGATATACCAACACGGCTCAGTGAACTCGTTTAGCCATCTCTGAGACAATAAGCTGCTAAATAAATTGTAAAGACATTAATTAATTTTGACCCTGTGAGAAAAACAAAGTTCTTTATAGTAGGGCCAACAGATTCAAGGAACCTACAGGCTGTTTCTAAGCATCACAGTATTGCTGTTAATTAAAGCTGTATTTATGGATCTTTGCACTTGTTACCAAGATGATAAGGAGGTCATTTCAAAGCCCATTACAGGCATATTTACAAGGCCTTTTGGAGACATTGTGGAGTCCATAGAGAGAATATTAAAATGCTAGTCTACTCTCTTGTCTAATCATGAACAGGGTTTATCTTAATATTATATAACACTGAGTGGCAAAAGTGACTTTTGTGTGGCAGGAATTAATGAAAGCATAATGCATAAGACTACACTCTTTTTCTCTTCCTAACTTCATTTTGCTCTTAATTATTAATGAATTAACCACGTCAGTAATTGAACTATAAACTCTAGTTGGATATAAATCACATCTTTTGTGATTTTTATATTCCCTCTAGAATTTAAATTAAGGTGGAAGCTACTATTGTTAAGTATCTTTTTAGGTCACATGGCACTTGGACCTATACTTTCTGTACATGTTAACAACAAAATATTTTTGATTAATTAATGTCACGAACATTTCCTTAGTGCCTGTTTAATATCACACTCTTTGTTAAAAAAGGAAGGTCTGAGTTAACTAGATGTTTATAAAATATTGGAATGGAATATGCCACCTGGTACAACTCACATACTTACTATTGTGCAATTGTGTATTCAGCCCCCAATGTCAAAAATACACCTTGTAATTATAATGTTCTTACACACATAACATTGGTTTAAGAATAAAGTGTTCAGTATATTTAACTTGACACTAGATTGGCAGTGTCCCTCAGGTTAGGCAAATGATACCTGTACTTTAGACAAGGTAGATAGGATGTACACTGTCATTCTTGAATTAAAAGTGAGAACCACAGACACTAAACCATTTCTGTAAACATGTAATATGGGTGTCAAAGCCTTAACAGAGTCTGTACATTACTGTAGCTTGTTCCTTCTTTGTATACAATTCTGCTAGTATTGCCTCCAGTTCCCTAATCAGAACCCCTGCATCTCAGTTTCATCCCAGCATTGTGTACCT